TTAAAAAAATAAAAACATACATACACCCAGCATGTAATAAAAGACACTTTTGTACTTAATGGAACAAACAAGAAACTAAGTATCGTAACCATGTAGTGTATGTTTTTTCATTTTTATGTATAGCTTTCCATATTTACATACATTAACTACAACCAGCTAATTTCGTGCTATTCTATTCTATTTTCGTATAAAATGGAACTAATTTTAACCGATGTGCTAATATGGAATACGTTCCATAAATAGTCATTCTCATAATTCTCTCTGTATAGTTTTGAAAGAATTTTTAGAATTTACCAACGACCGTGTATTATGTAATTTTAAGCTTAAGCATATTTTAAATACTAATAATATGTTTAAGTTTTTTAATTAAATTAAATTTTAATTAAATCTAATACATACTAAAAAAGACAGTTTTTGATTTTAGATCTTTTATTTTATTCAAAACTTGGAAAAAATACTATCGATTTTAAAACAATATGTATTGGAAGAGTACTTTACACCAAATTTGATGTTAATATTTAAAAATAGCATTGCCAAATTTTACCCAATATTAAGAAATATAGAGCATTAAAAAGTGATGAAAATGTAAAGTTATTATTATTATTCTAAATATATCTGTTGAGAGATACAACAAAAGTAATGTACTATGTATAATGAAGAATTAGTATTATTAAATTTAAATATAATAAACAAAATGCTGCTTTACAAAAGATTCATACTGACTACTGTTCCCGTACTTGTAATATTGACAAAAATATATATGGCAACTCTATAAACATAATTCAACGTTCTAGTCGTCCTTTACACCCATAAATGAAAGATCAAATACCTTTAAGTTTCTCAATACACAGATTTTAAAGGAAGTAATTTATGTGATCGCTTTTTATTATTTGCAAACGTACCTTTGTAGATTGTCAAACCTACTAATCAGATAAAATATTAAAGAAGATTAGTTTTCCTACTTTTACTACATTTGACATTTATATGAACAAGTAAGCGTTTAAGCAAGATATAAAAAAAACTCAAGCAAGAGTCAGCAGGAAGATGAAACCCAAATTTTATATGCTGAAAAATAAAAGCTTAGGGAAAGACAATTGACCCATCGGGTATGGAATTGTATAACGACAGCGAGGAAGCTTTAAAATCTGCAGCCGATAACACATTTTAGGGTATATCATAATATTAAGCTAAAAACTACTGGTTTAACACATTAATGCTCGACAATAAACGATGGAAAAAACAATAAGTAAGTATAACTAGTCGATGAAAAAGGAGAAAGGAATACATAAAAAAGAAACTAGAACTACAAGGAACAAGCTAGAATGGCTAAAATGTCATATCTACCAAGGAGAAACACGAACATTATATCGCCAGATAAACATCATAAGAAGGAATTTGTATGGCAAGTTGGTCACCAACAGAGATGACATCCTGATAAGATGATTAGACCACTTCCTAAAATTACTGGAAAGGGAACCTACAGAACTAGAATTCAAAAACGAGGAGTCTATCAAGCACCCGACAGTAAATGAAATAAAAATAGCTCTACAAAAGTGAAAAAACAACAAAATCCCAGATAATAATGGCCTTCAAGCAGGTTTGTAAACACTTTAAGAAAACTTATATGCGTGATAAAAATTGAGATGACCAAGATGCTTTCCATAGTGAAAACAGAACTACACATGAACTCCTAGATAGAGATTACGAAAGTAGAAATCCGAAGATTTGTATTGGCGAAATAAAAAAAAAAAAAAAATAAATTGCAAGGCAAAACAAACCAAAAAAATCTGAATTCTATTTTCGTCAATAGAAATCTTCGGATTTCTACTTTCATGATTCATTATCAGATGTCGCTATGGAGTCCATATTGAAGCCATTTTATTGTTGCTTCTTTTCACGGGAAAAGATTTAATTTCACGTTCAGGGATTATGTACTAGTGGCTCTGATGATTCCTGCTTGGATGAAATACGTATAGGCGAAAATGCAGAGGCACTGTACGTGAAATCATATCTTAACTGTCTTTTCTCCTAGATAGAGCTTTGCGCTAAAATGCCTCTTCAACATAGCCCTAGAAAAGATCATTAGATACGCCAGCTTATACAACTTAGACAACAGAGGAACTATATTTAATAAATCAGTCAAAATTTTAGCATACAGCAACAGCAAAAGCAATGAACAAAGTTCATATACCTAAACCAAACTAAGACCAAGTCTTTGGAATAGACGTGTAGCTTATATAGACACTAGAAACAAATATGATGCAACCAGTGGGTATTTAAACAAAATGCAGCAAATCAAATCCCAGATGGATAGACCGAGTAACGTAAGGTGCTGAGATGACCAGTGCTCTCAATTGGTAAAACCAGCGATGGGTTAACCTTCTTATACCATATTAAATATACAACTTTAATAATCTTCATAATATTACAATTATTTATATCCATGCCCCAACAGAAACAGCAGATGAACTAGTAAACCAATCAGTTCTATGACCAACTGCAAGTAGAATGTGAAAACGCACAGAAAAGAGATGCAGTTATAGTCCTGGGTAATATGAACGCCGAAGTTGGGAAAACAGCCAATATATGCAGAATCCTTTTGGTAAGCATAGTTTAGATGATATTACCAGCAACAACGGTATAAGAGTGACACAGTTTGTAAGGGCAAACAAACTAACAGTTGTTAGTACTTGTTTCCCTCATAAAAATATTCATAAAGGAACCTGGATAATGCCTGGTACTAATAAATTCAATCAAATTGATCACATATTAATATCTAAGCGGTGAGCAACCTCCGTAACGGATATTAGAACTTATAGAGGCGCAAATTGTGATTCGGACCATTCCTTGGTTATATCGACTATAAAACAAAGAATATCAATCGTATGAAAAGAGAAAGGCGCCAAACAAAGAAAATAGAACACATATATGTTTAAAAATCCTAAAAAGAAGAATGAGTACCAGCAGAAAATAAAAGTAATATTAAATGAAAGAGGAGAACAAAACAACATTGAAGAAAAATAGAATATCATCCAAACGACAATTACAAATATGACAAAGGAAACATTAGGTGAAACCTCAAGCAAAAGAAACGAGGAATGGTTTGACCAAGATTGCCAACAAGTAATAAATTTATCAGCGAGAAAGAGGGAATAATGAAAAGGTGGAAGGAGCATTTTCAAGATCTGTTAAACCCAAAAAAATGAAGATGAAGAAATAATTCACCACACAGCACAACAACTAGCTGAGCAACCAACATTGAAAGAATCGATAAACGTCATAAAACATCTAAAAAATAATAAAGCACCCGGTATAGATGAAATAACTGCAGAACTGATAAAGAATGGTGGACATGCGCTATGGAGGCGTATCCATCCATAAACTAATCGACCGCATATGGACACTAGAAGTCATCCCAGAAGATTAAAAAATATAAATCATACTTCCTATGTACAAAGTGAGAGACAAACGACTCTGCAAAAATTATAGGGGCATAACAGTTTTAAATGTCGTCTACAAGATATTATCAGGAATTATATACAGCCACCTGTAATCGTTTTCGGAGGAGATGATTGGTGAATACCAATAAGGCTTCAGACCAAAGAGGTCAACTATAGACCAAATACATATGTTAAAAGGTATACATGAAAAATGTGTTGAATATAACATACCTATTTACAACTTGTACATCGATTTCAAACAGGCGTTTGATGGAGTAGATCGACAAAAGATGTTAAAGCAACTATCTATGTTAGGGGTACCCATTAAGTTGATTAAACTTATACGAATGACTCTGGAGGGTTCCAAAGCTACGATGAGAATAGAGGGATACAATGACACAAGCTCTGATATTGAAAATTGAGTTAGACAAGATGATGCCTTATCAATAATACATTTTTAATCTAACTTTAGAAGCTGTTGTTAGAAAACTGGATTAAAAACGGCTGTATCAATACAAGATCAATGCAAATATGCGCATATGCGGATAATATTGCCATAATAAGCCGCAATATTAAGCGAAAAAGTTATAGAACTGAAACGAGAAGCTCCTACGTTTGGTCTATACATAAATGAAAGTAAAACAAAATATATGGAGTGCATAAAATCGAATCAACATGAAAATCTGAAGGTAGACAACCATACCTACAAAATATGCCTCCACTTTTCCTTACCTAGGCTCAATAATAAAATGACAACAACATCAGTCAAGAAATACAAGCACCGATTCTTAGCGGTAATAAGTGCTTTTATGAATACAAAGACTTAATGAAAAGAAGTTACTGAATCGTGTGTCCAAGCTTAGAATCTACAAAACAGTAATTAGACCAGTAGTCACATATGGATGTGAAACGTGGACCCTCTCAACCACTGATTAAAATCAACTGGGAATATTTGGGCGCAAAATACTAAGAAAGATATTTGGACCAACCCCATGCAGCGATGGTTTGTGGAGAATTAAAATGAACCACGAGCTGGATGAACTAATGCAATGCCAGATATTGTTAGATTTGTAAAGTCACAAAGACTAATCTGGCTTGGTCACCTAGAAAGAATGCCAGATAATCGAGCTGTAAAAGTAGTCCAAAGATGGAAGCCCCAAGGAAACAGAACAAGAGGAAGGTCCCGTAAAAGATTGATAGACGACGCAGAGAGGGATCTTAAAAACAATGAACATCAGACAGTGGCAAAGGAAAGTGTCAGACAGGGCGGAATGGAAGAACATTGTTAAGCAGGCCAAGACTCACAAAGGTTGTAGCGCCATTAGAAGAAGAAGAAGAAAACGTATACAACTTTAGAATTATTTGTACTAATTCTGTTGCTACCAAAAAATTATGAAACAAAAATTATTATAGCCTATTATTTTGTTTTTTACTATCAAAATTAATTTTTTTTTGTCTATAACAAAGACCATCTGAACGCCGCTGTCTAAATGATCGGAAATAATCGGCTAGCCTCCAGCCGGTTATTGACGGTAATTCTGCTAACTTCATATCATCAGCACTGTCAGTCAGTGTCGCAACTGTCAGTTGTTTCATTTTTACTTTTAGTTAGGAATCATCCATTCTTATCAACTCATTTTAATTACAGTTTTATTTGCAACATACGTTTAATATATTAAGTGAGTGTAATTAATACTTCGTGCCTTCTTTCAACCATATAATCGTCGTTAAAATTAAGAAACAGTGACTCAACAGGTGCAATATGACAGGAAGACTAGCAGGACAGACTATAAATGATAGGCTTTTAGCTGCAAAACATAGTTTGGCTGGACAAGGTTTAGCTAAAGCGGTATGCAAAGCAACCACAGAGGAAATGATCGGACCCAAAAAGAAACATTTAGATTGTAAGTTTCTTCTGTTTGCTATGTTATTTTCTAAAGAATTTTTTTTGTCAGACTCATTCCACCAAAAATGTTTTGCCCCTTTGATAATTAGTAACAAGTTTGACTAAACAATATCATCCAACATATAATTTAGGGGATTATAATTTTCTAAAGTTGTTTTGTAATAAGATAGCCTTCATGTTTCTCAATATTTTTGCAATCTATCAATGTTATTCCAGTTTACATAAAATTTTGTTTTCTGATCTAGTAATTTAAATATTGTGAATTTTAATGGTTTTAAATTAACCAAATAAAAAAAAATAAGTACTTTCTTCATTAGCTAAAAATTGCTTTTTGTTAATTACTTTTTATATAATTATCTACTAACTGATAATGTACTTATCACACAATTTTTTGTACATGTTCATTATGTTTTAAGACAAATAGAATCCATATAAACTAAAATCTAGGTCATTATTATTTCCAATTTAATATGAACATTATATTTGGTCACATATCACAACATTATATTCATATAAATGCTAAATTAAACCTGTTCTTGCTTAATATCAAATTCAAGAAATCTTTTTTATGCAAATATTATTCACAAGAAAGATAATATGTCTCTTTTGTTATTACAAAACATTTTTTGGTTATCAAACATTAAACATTTAGTTAATTATGTTTTTTACCTATTTGGAAAATCATGAAAATATATAATCAGTTTCTGTTATCATCAATAATAGTATAATATTTCATCTTGCTATTGGCAAGAGTTTATTTAAATACTTATTTAGCAAACAATTAAAGACAAAAATGAATACATCAAACTTTTAATTCACATTTGTTTATGATTTAATAAAATATGTGCCATTCAATAAAAATTTATTACACAATTAAATCAATTCATTCTTGGCAATTATCATTATATAACATTAGCAGTTACATCCTACTTATTATTTTACCTTTCACCTTTTTTTAATATACACTATCACCTTTCCATAAGTGGTGTGGAGGGGGAGTAGTGTTGCTTTCCCCTAAATATACTAATATGTGTATCCATAAAATAATCGAATTTGAAATCTATCTTGAAACTTCCCCATAACTGTAGCTGATCTATAGGCCTAAAATATTGATTGATTACTATAGCCATAATACTGGAAGTTTCCATCAATTGGAAAAGCGTATATTATTGACATAGCCTATTTCTATAAAAATTTTGACAGCCAACAACAGGATTTCGGACATTGATCTCATCTCTTCACAAACATAATCTCTTGAAAATTTGTACGCACACACAGAGAGAAGTAATTGATGTTTTTTTTTTAAGAATCAGAATTTTATTTAATCAGGTAAACACTAGAGTATTTACAAATAGTATGCTATTTTTAAAACTTTACACCATTGTAAGTGATTAATTACTATTAAAATGGGAATAAGCCACAATTAAAAGTTAAAATATGTATATTGACATTTTAATTTCCACTTCGGAAATCGTTCTTAAAATACAAACATTGTTTGTATTTTGAGCTTTTTTTTTCTAGAAGAGCATGAGCAACCTCAACACTTGAGTAATATTGTCCATGCAAATTGTTCGTCTAGCATTTACCAAATCTGCACTTAGTGTTAGGCCTGTTTGTGAAGGTATTATAAGATCATTACCTCCATTTTCTTTGCCACAATGTATTTTATTTTATTATTTGAATTTAAGCCCCCTGGAATGATACCAAAGTTTCATCTATGCAGATAAATTCTCCAGGGAATCTTGAGCTTGAAATGGTTAGTTGAGTTTCTTTATTAGCGGACCAACTTTGAACAATTTGTCGTTTTGATCTGAGACTTATATTAATATGGCGAATTTGATAGTAATGGACAATACCCATCCACATACGTATTCCTATATTTTTTTTCCATTTCTTGCCCTTGTATCGAACCCTGATGAATTCTAGCTTTCATTTGCTGCGCTTTTTCTTGCCGATATAAAGCATACTGATTGGTTTCATTCACAAAAAAAAAATAATTTGCATAACATAACAGAATTCGTTCGTAATTTTAAATCTTACCAATTAAAGTTTATAGAAATAATATGAAATATACATTGCAATATCAGAATTAGAAGTAAATTTGAAATTTCATAAATGCTCAGTGGTTACAGGATCTTACCAAAAATGTCTGGTCTCATCACATACATTATTTCACACTTCACATTATTGCATGTTTTCTAGTTTTATCCAAAGTATCAAATGCATATTTGGTAATATAAGAAATGCTTGATAGTCTCATCCAATGTGTAAGCTGCACGAGAAGTTGCCAGTGCAGTGGAAGTGGTCGATACATTAGAAGTAAAAGGTGCATTATTACTAGCCTCATTTATTTCAATTTCTATATCAGAATCTTCCAAGAGTAATTCATCTTCACAAACTAACTCTTTCCTCATAGCATGGAGATGCTTCTGTTCCAAGCATGTTTTCTGCACTTGAAGAGATGGTGCAAGACAGTCATTTATCAGTTCTAGTCATGATGGATACCTGTTATTCACATATTTTGCAACAACGGTTTGCTATATGTGTTCATAGATATTAAAAAACAAAATTTACGAAAAAAAAAAATGTTGGCATGGAGTGTAAGATTTGTTTGTAAGATTTGTTTATACATATGACACTCTTAGCTAAATACTTTATTCAGCTGGATAAAGAAAACACCATTATTTTTTAAATAGTGGTTATAACAATATTTTGTTTACATACTCACCCAGACTACTAAATATTTTGATAATGTTTTGCATAATATAGAAATTGATTCCTTGTATTATAAATTCCACACATAAGTATTTCTATCTAACAAAGTTTGGAATGAATCATGTTATCATTAGTATTACTTATCATAGTATCATACTTGTCATATTTCATAGAATGTTTATTGGCCTGCAAGTGCTCATTGGACTTTTATATTTGTATACCTTTACATTTTGAGATTAGCTTTTAGATTTTGGTTTCCCCTTAGTGGTTGATTATTTGTTATTACCAGTTATTGTCATCTACCTTTAATCACACCCAATCTCAACTTATACAGGGTGTGCCAAATCTCTGGGTTTCATTTTTTTCTGTTAAACTCTGTAATATAGGTACAACAAATGTTTATAATTTTAAAATATTTTATTATGGTAATATTTAAAGGATTGTGGATTAGGTTTGCAGGTTAATAAAAATGTAACTGATGTTTCAAAGTTTTTCTAGTGTAGCAGTATTTTTAATAAGTTTTATTTTATTTATTCATTCCAACGGTAGAACCATTTACAATAAAATACAAAAAATAGTAAAAAGTAAAGATCATGTACAATAAACATCAAAACAATAACAAAGAAACAAGTAAACAGTTAAAATTTGTACATTAAAACAATATAAGTATCATATCACAAAAATTTAAAAAAAAGTATCAGTATCACATAGTAAGTATCACATATCTAGATTAATAGTCAGATTCTTAAGTTGCCTTTTAAAAGCATTAATGTTTATGCAGAAAGGATCTAATAGGAGGTCATTGCAAGAGCTGAGCATTCTTGATAGGGGAAAATTACGAGCATAATCAGTCCTATGAAAAGGAATATGAAAGAGTGCAAAGTTAATACCTTTGACTAGATAACAAACGCCTGTCTCAAAAAACTCGTATAAGACTGTATAGAACACTGATAGTCCCCGTTCTCACATATGGATCAGAGGCATGGACGCTAACGAAAACAGATGAATCCGCTCTATCCATTTTTGAAAGAAAGGTGCTACGCAAGATATTCGGAGCGGTCTGGTGAAAACAGAATATGGAGGCATAGATATAACTTTGAACTCCAGAATATCTACAAAGCATACATTTGGTGGTAAAGATATTACCACCATAATTAAGCGAAACCGCCTACAGTGGGCAGGACATGTAGCCCGGGCCCCTGAATCGATCATGATAAAAAAAGATTCTAACAGCGCAACCTCTGGGAATTAGAAGAATGGGGTAGACCAAAGCTGAGGTGGAGTGATGGGGTAACACAAGATGCGGAGAAGATCGGAGTCGACAACTGGAAAATGCAAGCAAGGGACAGAACAGAATGGCATAGAAAGCTTGAGAAGGTCGAGGCCCTCTAAGGGCTGTAGCACCAAGGTGATGATGATAATACCTTTGACATCTAGCCATACAATATACAGTGTGATCACAATTTTTAAAGAGACAATTTTCTCATTTTTAATGGAACAACCCTGTATATTAGTATTGTATATACAGGGCGTTCCAGTAAAAAACACAACTTTGGTCCATTCCGTTGTTCTGACTAACCCAATTTCTCATATACTTTATAGTGTAGCTGTAACAAGGCACACCCTGTATATTATATATTTAAATACTTTACAAATTTTTGCTGCTAATCTAACATAATGTTTACATGTTTTTTAGGTTTAGTTTAATTACTATATCTCGTTTAATAACTTTTTTATGGGTACCTATAGGTTTCTAATGTAATCTTAAATATTTTTGTTAGCGATTCCATAGTGGGTTCCACAATTCACCTCTAAAATCTTCTGTGCGTCGCTCTGAATCCTTCTCCACGTCCTGCAGCCATCTTTTTTGGGCATCAATGAAGCATTGGCGGGCATTTTTTATCTATTTGCATTTTACGCTTAAACTACTTATTTTACGCAAAAATCACAGGAATAACTTTCGTCTTAAAACCCATGTTATCTATGTTAAATCATAGTAATCTATGTTATTAAAAAAGTGGTTTCCAAGGGAAAAAAAGCTTGTGGTTATCCAATCGAACCTTTTTGACAAAACCCACCTGCCTATAGCTTCCTAGCTTCATTGTGTACTTCAATATTGGCAGATTTTGCTTATTAACAAATATCGACAACACCATTGTTTTGATCCACTATTAGTTTACCGTGAGAATGTATTGCCATAAAATAATTATTTTATTAAATTAAAAAATAATATACGACAATTTTCATAGAACTATTTATTACTCACTATACATGTTTACAGAA